TTTACTAAAATTTATAAAAACTGATTCAGACAAAGCAATAAGAAGGCGTAATTTGTCTGAATCATGTAATGTATTTGCGCAACACATTTCGAACAATCTAATCACGCACGGACTTGTTATGGAAATGTACATGAAATTAATAAATAGTCGACGGCTTTATGGATCAACAAAATGATCTATTTACAGAAAACCTAACTGGACAGAACAGTATCTTATTTATCACAGCTTCTGCCCTGGTCAGTATAAAAGAACCTTAGTAAGGTGCCTCTTCAGTAGAATCCAACGAATATGCACTGAAGACAAACTTGATGAAGAAGAAAGAAAGTTGACCCAAACTCTGGTTGATAACAATTATCCAGACAAGCTCATCAGGAGACATGAAGCAGTCAGAACAGCAAGACCCACTGTCAAACTCGCCCCTCAGAAAGACGTGTACGTCAAGCTATCCTATATGGGGCATCAAAGCAGCTTGATAACTAGACAAACACTGAACGCTGCTGTCAAAAAAAACTTTATGCAGCCAATATCATAATAATAGAGAATGTAAAGCCAATATATCTATCTAAGCCCTTCGAACATGCGAAAAATTATGCCACATCCCACTGTATTTACTAATTTGAATGTATGTGTGGACACACATACATATCGAGGACTCATCGATCTCCGCAGGTAAGGGCTTCAGAGCATATTCCTAAATGTCTTCAGAAGACAGAATCTCCTGAACCCATAAATGGTGAGAACAGACGACCAAGCCCCTCTAATGCGAAACATATTATAGAGACAGAACATAAAACTGACGAAAACACTCCTTTTAAACCTATCTTTAAAACGTGTTGGGGGCGTATCTTTAAGTTTGTGGAAGCCCTAGAAGGCAATCAGGAAGTTTAAGCCACCTTTATGCGTTCAAAAACAATTCGTCATCACATTAAACCTCCCTTGGTAAATTTTGCTTTGATACCGTATCAGATGTACTATTACCTCTGTTATTTGGTTTAGTGGTCTTCATTGTAATGTTGACCTTGAATATGTCCTTTTAACTTGACCTAAGTCTATTTTCTCACCTCTTAGCTCTTTATTATTTTCATACGTCAAGTTGGTGTGTGCCCAGACTGTTCGGAATGCGATACTCGAATACATTACACAGTTTTGAGAAACTACGTCTTCTTATTGCTTTGCATAAATTCAAAAAGGGAACAAATTGCTCTAAAGACTGATTCACACAGCCTTTTTATTTCACCTTAGGAGCCTTGTAACTATGCAATGAACTCGTCAGTTTGTTCCTCTTTTCTTTCTCTTTACTCGCTCTTGAGTTATCACTTGAAAGGTGAAATGCAGCATTTCGTTAGCTATTATGTAAATTTTCTATGATCAACAAACCCAACTGTGAATCTAGGCCATTTTTTCGAATAATCAGGGTAACAGGGCATTTTATCTAAACACACGGGAACAGAAAATGTATCACACACAATGTATTCAGTGTTTTGACTCAATTTTGAAGAGGTCGTTTTTGTTATTTTATGTTTCACTTAGAAGTTGACTAAACATGAGGTCTTAAATCTTGTCTGTATACTAGTGTGATTAATCTTATGAAGCCTCAATAAAGTAATAGACGGTTCCTCTTTGGATGAAAACAATCAACCTTTGCAGTCATTTTGTTCCATCCAGGGTTCTCAAGAACTAGTTTTACCTTTAAATAAAATATACTAAAAGTCAGTGGGCTTAATGTAGTTAAATACAACGAAGCAGTGCTTGAAGCGATATGAACCCATTGCCAACTGATATGATGTCGTCGACTGTTGATATGACGCAGTTGCCTTTAACTTGGGTATGATAATATCGAACGCGATGGACGACAACGATTCGCCCTCAGTGCCTTCCGCTTCATTGAGCCACATAAATCTCAAGAGAAAAATACCGACCTGTGACTGTTAGGATATGCACGGCAACCGACAACAACAACAACAGCAACAAGGATAAGAACAAACAGGTTTACTACGACGATCATTTATTGGGCAAATTGTTTGGTATATGTAAGTTGCTTAACCTCGGAAATTCAAGCCATAGACAAACAAATCTGATTGTTTGGCCAAAGACAGTGGTTATAAAAAAGGATTATGAAGTTTTACAAAGTGGTCAGTCATTCGATTCGTTATGGGTAAATTTTACTTTGATAGAGTCTCACAGTGTTATACAGTAATATTTACTGATGACGCTTCGAGCGCAATTTATTGCTCAAAATCATATCAAGGTAATCACACGACTTCCTAAATTCATTTATATAGTTCCATTGTTTTTCACTTGATTTTCACTTGATTTGATTGGTAGTATTATTTTCCATATTTCGGGTATGAGTGATGAATCATTCCTATTGCATGTGTTGGGTGTAGATTCGATGAACAAGGATTCGGTAATCAATCTCTCTCTCCACATATCTAGATTACTTTTTAGAATTTTAACCCTCTCCCACCCTATTGTGTGGTTGTGTGCTAATGCATGCATTGCAGTTGCTGAGCTTTTTTCTATATTACTTATCTTCTCTGGGTCAACCATTCTTACCTTAGCTAAATTCCTATGTTCTGACAATCTGACTACCCCTGACCTACTAGTTTGACCTATGTAGTTGACCTTACCCACAGTCATTGCAGGGTATTTTGTCTAATTGGGTCAACTGGGTCCTTTAACCTACAGAGCTTGTCCATGAGTGAGTTTGTAGGTTTAAATGCCACTCTAATTGCTCTGTTTGTTAAACACTTAACTAAGCCTGCCTTAACAGTTAAAAGATGAGATGAATTAAATTCTAAATATCTATTAGAATGTGTTGGTTTTCTATAAACACTAGTGTGTAGTTTGCCTTCTTCTATTCGTTTATTTTACAATCTAACATAGCTTATTCTCCTTGCTCATTTTCGGCTTCAAATGTGAATTTTATTCCCTCCACTAGTGAGTTTATGTGTGTCGAGAAGCTAGAGATATGTTCTGTTTTTAACACTGTGAAAGTGTCATCCACATATCTCCACCATATTTTTGGAGTAGGATTAAACGTATTAAGTGCCATATTTACCCAGCTATCCATAAATATATCTGCCACGATAGGGGATATTGGTGATCCCATTGCTACACCTTCTGTTTGTCTATATATTTTGACTTGGAATTTAAAGATATTAGATGTGAGGCATAGCTGAATCCCTAAAATAATTTCTTCAATAGACAGCTTTGTCCTATGATTGAGTTCAGGATCCGTAGTTAGTTCTTTTTTAACTGCTTCTAAGGCTATATTGACTGGTATATTAGTATAAAGACTGGTTATATCAAAACTAACCATTGTTTCATCATTCTCTAGTTGAATGTCATTTAGTTTATTTTTCATCTCATATGATTTAGTTAGTCTAGAATTTGAACAATTTCTAATGGGGCATAATATTACAGCTAAATGTTTTGATAATTCATATGAAGGCTATTTCTAAAATCTACTATTGGTATTATGGGATAACCTGGCTTATGTATTTTAATATTACCATACATCCTACTAGCATTATTAGTTTTAGGTATTAAATTAAACCATTTTGACTCACCCAGTGACGGCTTCATTTTGCGTACTAATTCCGCTGTGGATTTTTTAACCTTATTCATTATTGTATCTACGGGCTCTATCAAAATTAAATTTACCCATAATGGAATTACACTCTAACACAATTCTCAAGTTTTATTCTTATATCAGTCATTCGATTCACATTATGAATTTTCTAACCACCGGCTTGAAATGGTGATTAATGTTTTTAGGCACTTCCTGTTATGAAAGTATTTAGGCTTCGTACTTAAAGTTATTTATAGATTGTACTAGTGAAATGACACATGTGTGTTTGTGTTCGTAACTGACATTTGTAGCAGGACGATAGTCGCTTCAACACACTCAGCCATTTCTTCCAACTGACAAGTTTCAGTAATCTGACTAAAATTCTGGCTGTCTGCATGAATGTCCACAAGTGTTCATCTCCTCTTCACACTATCACACCCATATCACCGTCTCACTCATCGTAAACTCGTCGTTTCCCTTTCACGTTCCACTCGTTGATTTTCCTGGTGTGCGATTTCACGGAAAGGTCTCACCAAGGTGTGTGTGTGTGAGTTTTATTCTTTCTGACCATCTGAACTTTAATATATTGAGATAGAGAAGGCAGCTGTTGATAAAAGTCTTCAGCCAGATTGAAATGATTCTCTTGATGCACGTACCAATACTCTAAGCTCTGCTGAAAAATCTGACTCATATGACATCTGGAAATTCATCCTTGTGCTAAGTGTAGTAAATTTCCACATTGATTTCAGAATAATGAAGCTCTGGCTTGTGTTTCCAATCCTACCAGCGTTGACATCTTCATTTGAGCCGTTTGTATTTGAAATAGTGCAGCCTAGACAAGTGAGAGAGACGACCTCTTTCTAATCGCTCCCGTTGATAGTGATTAGTGCTTCTTGTTGTAGTTGTTGTTGGTAGATTACCTTCATTACCTATGCCATCTCTATCTTCACCTGAAGTCCTGTATTCGCTTCCTGCCTATTCTGTCAACTTGCTTGTTTTGGCCTGTAGATCTTCTAGTCTGTGTGACATTAAATCTCCTATGAAGTCTAAATCTTTAAGAGTTTTCTTATTTGCCCAACTTATTACTTTCTTCCCGCTCCTCACTGCCTGCTGCATGATTCATTCCACTAAAACTAGGAATTTAAGTAATACATACAGGACTAATGAAAAGTATGCGGGTGTCACTACTTTCTAGTCTTACATAAACATCGTCTGCTAACCTCAGTAATTAATGATCACTAATCAACTAATGATATTCAATACTGCCTCTCTGAATGCTTTTGAGCAGAAAACTACAAGTACACTGCTAATGCTAGATCAAAGCTTTCTTGTGTGTGCGTGTGACGCAAATGTGTGATAGTTCCTTATGGAAAGAAATACAGAATCATTGTGACTAATAACTGCCTTTTTTACATTTTTCTTACAGTCCTGATATAAATGAATCTTCAGAAAAAACTGAATCTAGTGGTCAACATGTGAAGAAAAATAAAATTCTGGTAAGTGACTAAAATGTTTGCTTTGCTGTGTAATACTCCAATTTGTTTCTTTTATTTTTTTCCTTCACGCTTCCAGTGGGACATAGGGCCTCAAGCTAGTGGCTTGAAGTCTCTGTAGCAGTGTTCAATTTTACAGGATGGGGTTGCTAGCCTTATGCCCAACCTTTCCACTTTACCAGCATTATTTCTGGCTTAGCAAGGGAAAGGAGTGCGTCGGCGGGGATCGAACTCCGAACCATGTGCATAGTCGGCGAGCGTCCTAACCACTGTGCCACCGACGTACTGAGAGCTGGTGCTTTCAACGTGGAATGGTCGCTGACCTCATTTCTTTTATGGCTTATTTTTATTATTTCTACTTGTAATTCTACAAGAAGGTGGATGATTTAACTTGACCCCTCATTAGTCGTGGACACTAACAGGGATATGCATGAAAATATGAAGAAATGAATAGCTGCTTCGCTTAAATTCAGAACGCCTTCGAAATGTGAATTCATAACCTTCTACCAAATGACTCCAAATTTTCCCGACCAGTATTTTACTACTGTTCATTCGTTAGCTTAGATGTCAACAGTCAGTTTCTGCTAATTTTTGAGTATCTGTGATACAATCAAATCTCCCTCTTTTCTAATATCTGAGTAGGTCAATATTTGATAAGTGAATGTTAGTGCCTATAACCAAATCTGAAGCCGGACAAAAAAGAAACTGAAGGCTTCTGCATTTCTTCACCAGCCAATCGACACCTTTGATAATAAAAAAAGCTGTGATGACAAAATGTACTTTAAAAACTTCATACAATTTTTTCTATTAGTAAATATGGATAAGGCATGAGAGACAACCGCTCAATACTCAAGATCAGATAGCCAAAAAAGATCAGCAATAGAGATCTCTGGGAGCGAAGCAACAAGGAACCAGTTTTGAAACAAATAGGCAGGAAGAAATGGAGAAGGACTGGCCATACTCTGAGGAAACCATCAAGTGACATCACACGACAGGCCATATCTCGAGTGGAACTCGAAAGGGAAGCGGCGAGTTGGTCGTCAGTGCAAGGGTAACTTGGAGCCAGGTGAAGACTCTAGCAGAGAACCGAACGCAATGGAGACGGTTGGCTGAAGCCCTATGTTCCTCTAGGAATTAAAGGATACAATAATAATAATAATGAGAGACAAATATACCAGGATGATATGAGCCTATATTTTATTATCGTGAGGATTCTTCTCAGCTGGCTACAACCTAAACAATATAAGAATGTAAATAAAATTAAAGATTTGTACATACATTTTCTGCATCGGTGGTAAAGCGATTACGAAGCTCGCCGACGCACTCCTTTACCTCGCTAAGTCAGTAATAAGACTGGTAAAGAGGGAAGGTTGGGCATGAGGCTAGCAACCCCATCCTGTAAAAATAAACACTGCTACAGAAACTTCAAGCCTCTAGCTTGAAGCCCTATGTTCCACTAGGAACGTGAAGGAACACACATACATTTTCTCTGATGATCGGAAGGAATTGGCGGAAACTAAGAGTAAAATTAGTTAGGAATGATGTATGGTGTTAAATAATTAAGAGTGAAAGGAATTAACTATTTATGGGAAAATTAAACAACTATGCTTGGAAACAAAATGACAGGGTTCAACAGACTTTTGTGGGTGGAAACAAAGTTTAGCTAAAAAGAGTGTAACATAATAGGTTACATAACCACGGAGTATATGTTTTTCTAAAATAGCCAATGAAGGAGGTGGGTAGGATGAGTCATGTTTAAACGAAAAATAAAGTTTTTCAAACAGGACAGACGATGACTTAGTAAAATTTGTGTACTTTGATATCGCCAAATGTGTTTTCAAGTCTTTAGTGTAATTTATATTCTCGTGTTGTTCAAGTTGTAGTCAGTTGAGAAGAATCCTCGAAATAATAAAATATCAGCTCATAATATCTTGGTATATTTGTCATTCTTGTCTTATTTAAACTCTACTTTGTTTAACTACCTAACTTTCAGAATGGATCAGAATTTTCGGCTCCGACTAATACTATCATTATGGTGTTTTTTTCATTTGACGTAATGTAATTCAGACTTTCAAGGAAGATAAGAGATCATTTGAAGTTTAACAAATATACCCGTTTAGACGTTTACAAGATAGAAGGATTTGACGAAGACAGACTTACTTTTTAGCTAAATTTTTATGTATGGCTCTAATCTAATATATACATGCATAACGATTTTAATGCAATACAGAAATTTACCAGTCTACTAGTCATAAGTATAATAAAAACATCTAGCCAATATCAACATGTCAGGGGGTTGATAACTATCCAAGAAAATCAATGCAACAAATAAAGGCGTAGAAACATCAAACGAATACATTAAAATAATGTAAAATTTTGAAAAAATAAGAAGTGGGCACTCAAACTGATCACGTATTAAACTACTAAAGATGAAATATGTAGAACAATAAGGTAATTAAACAATGATAATTTATAAGTGGTGTAGCTAGAGAGGAAAATTGTCATTTGTTTACACTGATGTATTGATAGCCAAGGTATGGAGAGTGACTATATGAATCTCTTCTGAACATAAAAATAGGGTTCCTTCAGGTGGATTCCAATGACTTTAGCTGTACGTGTCTACTAATATACATGTACGTGCCAGAGCACGTAGACTGAAAGAACAGAGTAAACGATTGTTGTCCACGTTTCTGAAACAAAATTACGATTGGTCAAAAGACAATAGGTAACTTCAAATGCCTGGTTAACACCACTTCTATGGTCAGTATCTATATGGTGAAGTGAAACACAGCTACGAATAGACCTTGGTCATGCAGGAGGAGGATTTGAAATCCGATGATCTATATGTCTAATTGTATGCCTAATTTGACTTTGTAGGTTTTAGCTTTCCCCAATACAAACATAACTAATTCTTCCGATGCAGATTATCTTAAAGTCTTTATGTGTAACGATGAAAACCTAGTGATTTTACTCTCATCCATGCCTAATTTTACACCTGCAATCGAGATATTATAGCTTCAGAACACTAACAACTTTTAATTATTTTACTTGAGGAAATTTGTTCTGGTTACCCCTGGAATGAAGCTCATCGGCTACTGTTGGTATAACGAGTAGATCCTCATTGCTCTATGTAGACCAGTATCTAACCCTCGTGAGGTTAAACTATTAACGGAATCCTTTTCTTCAGTTAATAGGGGGAAATGACAGGCTCATGGTACACGACTACAGTGAGTAGTTAATGCTTTATTCAAAGATAGAATTTATACAGATGTATAAGCAGCCTGGTCGAAGTATTAGACAGTGAGAACTAAAGGCAAATAAATGACTATTGTGCTCATTCACAACTTATGTACACAATAATAACTATTCAGAAAGAAAAAAGAGACAAAGAGTACGGAGTAAATGCTATCTTCCTTTCCCAACAACTTTTCTTTTAGAACACGTTTTATTCTCCTTTCATCCTATTCACAAAAATGACGTAATATCGGCTTTTGTTTCCTAGCTTCCTACTCATTACAATTAACTGCTTACAACCCTTAGTGACACAGAAAGCCTAGATGGTTTGTCTTGTGTATTAATCTATTGTATTTTAAAAAAAAACTAAACCATGTTAAAGAGATTTGTAGAAAAAACAACTATGTATAAGTGTAGAATCATGTGCAAAGTCACGAAAAATATACATCTCATTTTCTTTGTCTTTACATTAGAACATAATTAAATAACTAAACTATATATATAATTATTCAGGTAGAGATTCTTAATTTGATTTACCGGACAAAAGTTAAACAACTCTCTTTCCCACCTTCTTTTCTGTAACCACATGTGTAAACTGTTGGCTAGCATACAAAATTTTGTCGATAACTCTGTAATCTCGGCTCACTATTGGCTAGAAAATTTTGAAACTACTTTTGACACTGTTCAATAAGGTGACCATATGATATCACACATTCTTTTTATTGTTTCAGTCTTTAGGTCGAAGTATTCACAATCACCATCATACACCAAGAGGTTCACAATCCAACGATCAGTTTGTACATTTACCCATTATTAAATCACGCAAAAAATCTGGTATTCTAAGCGATGCGGAGAAATCACCTCCTGATGAGTTACACCGTACAAAATACACTGATAAATCTGTGAAACATTCAGCTCACTTTATTCAAAATGAACAGAATCCAGCTTACGAAGGGATCGCTGCAAGATGGTTTGATAGTCAACCGAAACGTCCTAAAGGGGATTTCCCAGATAGAACAGCTGGAAATTTCGAAGAAACTGACAGAAGTTTTGGTAGTAGTGAAGAATACTCAGAGACAGCGTACTGTCAACACCTACCGTTGACGGATTCACCAGGTGAATATTTTGAAGGTTAGTTTCAGCAGGTATCATTACTGCTGGACTAAATTATTTCTGATTAATTATTCTTTCAATTTCTCGTTATTTTGTCAGCAAATTAGTTGGTGTGTGGGTACCTTGATATCGCTTTGTTTTTCACTTCAGTGCCATTTGTTTGACTCTGAAAACTATGGTTACTGACTGCAATTCCCAACAGAAACAAACTGAGCCACTGAAACGTAGGCAAATCTAACCAGCTGGTCGCGAGAGGAATTAAACAGGCATTCTGGAATCGGTAACTAGTCACCGCTAAATGAATACTCTGCCTAAATGAATCTAAGCATTTGTATCGTAATATACGCATAGAAAACTCATTTTGTATAAATCACTTGATAGGATTTTGGATAATTCACCAGGTTTGTGATATTACCTAGTGGGTAGTACTGTATTGCTGTATGATATTTCTGCCAAATAAATAATAATGAGAAATTACATATTACTGCATTAAATAGAGATGAATATCTCTACACCACTCACATTAACCAGGCGTGTTCGGAGTGCCGAATTAGTTCACACTACCCAATTTCTGGTTGACTACTTGGGCGAACTAGTAACATCGTAAATCAGATTCACAATTTAAACAGTTCTAGGAGATGAAATTTTATCACGATTTCCCTTGGAAGCCAAAATTATCCAGATCATAATATGTGTGTTCTGCTGGTTGGCACAAACGGTAATCAGGAAAGTAGGCATAAATCCATGAAACTGTATAATACTGATCTATTAAGATGAGTTCTATTTTATATCTTCTCATTTCTGCGGCTACCTGGGCAGCCTTTCCAGTTTCGTACATTGTACGAATATTACACGTCCCCATCCTTATTTTTGCTTTCATCGAAAGAAGGCACATCGGCTGACTGGCTTCCCGAAGGCTTTTACCAGCCTGCGTCATTTCACTTCCCGTTCCAGCGAAAAATAAGGTTATTGTTTATATTTTAGAATTTTAATATATGTGTGCGTTGACGTTTCTGTAACAATTTGGTTACGTTTTGCGGGTGGAGTTGCTAGCACCACGCCCCAATCCTCCCTCTTAATCCGGGCTTGGGACAGGCTAGAAAACTAGTGAGCTAGTAATCTAGGCGAGGTTAAAAAATGTGGAACGCTTCACGATTTTGCTTGTCATCCTTGCGCAGGGCCATGCTAATCGGATTTTCAATACAAACGTCAAGTCAGTCAGTTCTTCTATACGGATCAGAAACTTGGTGGCGGGTCACAAAGAATATTTCCAACAGCCTGTTGCAGACCTTTATCAACAACTGTCTTCGTTCTATACTGAAGATCAGATGGCCGGAAAGAATCACCAACAAGAAACTATGGGAACAAACAAAACAAGAACCAATCGCTCAACAAATATGCAGGAGAAAGTGGAGATGGATTGGACACTCACTGGCTGAGGAGGCCACTCGCTGGGTGACATCGCGCGTCAGGCCATAGCTCGAGTGGAACCTGAAAGGGAAGCGGCGAGTGGGACGTCAGTGCAAGGGTGACATGGAGGAGATCGTGTGAAGAGGAGTTGAAACAGTATGGACTAACATGGATGCAGGTGAAAAGTACAGCAGAAGACAGAAGCAAGTGGAGACGTGCAGTTGAAGCCCTATGTTCCACTAGGAACCCAAGGGAACAATAATAATAACTAAAATGAGTGGTTGTATAAAGTGAGGATTTCGAATTTGATTTAAAGTGTTACTAATTCGCCCAAGTAACTAACCAGAAACCTGGTAGTTTGAACTGATTTAGCCCTTTAAACTCGGTCAAACCAGGAACACTGCTAATTAAAAGTCAATCTGAACGAAGAATATTCTTTTCAATAATTTCTCTTCAGGTTCTTACAATTATAAAATATAATATTTGTTGTCGTTACAATAAGGCCAACAAATATTATATTTTATAATTGTAAGAACCTGAAGAGAAATTATTGAAAAGAATATTCTTCGTTCAGATTGACTTTTAATTCATAATATGGGAATTTTCGACACTGCTAATTAGCTCGGCCACAAAATGAGCCAAACGACAGTCCGGTTTTTAAATCACTTCGTTCTGGTTATTCAGCACT